AAAATGTTTTAAAAAAATGAATTATTATTAAGAAGAATAAGTTAGTATAAAAATTACAAATTTAAATATAAAGATATATCAATTTATAAAACTACGAGGCTCGTATAAATATAAATATAAAAAAATACTACATATAAAAAAAGCCAACTAAAACGAGCAAACCAATTACGATGTCAAATTATTAAAATATTAAAACATTTATTAATCTTAAAAACTTAAATAAAATTAAATTTAATTTACATATACATATACGTTTCGACTGCACGGCAGTCTTTCTCAATATAATACATTGTTAATTGATGATATAATATAATTTACATTGAGTCTCAAATTTGGTCAAAACATGTTTAATTTTCTATCGATTACAAAACTAATTAACGCAGATTTCTATTCATCTATATTCTCGCTTATATTATTGACATCTTTGTTAAGAAAATTTTTTACAATTATCATTTTGAATTTTACAATAATATTAGAAAGCAGAAGCAGTTAAAGTATACTCTTTTGTTGTTCATCTTTTTATAATAAATTTTTTTGAATGAAAATTGTTTTATATAGTATTCCTTTTTTATATGAATTATTATCTCTATTATTTTTTTAAAAATGTTTTTTAAATTAATTATTAAAGTGGGTAACTACCGCAGAGATAAACGGGCAATTAATTTTAAAATAACATAATAAATTAACAGAATTAATAAATTATACCATGGTTTTTCCACTGCCTTTCTGGACATCTTTATTTTTTTCTCGTTTCTTGTTTATTCCTTAGCATTTCTTCTTCAAATACTTATTACAAAAACGATTAATTATATAATATGATACGGGCATTAATCATCAAAATAATATACATATATTATATTATATATATTAACATATACATGCAGGATCAATAATAATTGTACTTATTAATTAAATGCAGTAACGTTCCAATATATTATTGTATTTCATAATTACAATATTAAATATATAACGTTAATAACTGAGGAATTCTAAAATCATATCGACAATTTTACTCTAGTACGTATAATATTACACGATTGAGACATGATAATTTCGAAAATTAATTAATTAATTACACGGATTGATCATTGTTAATTTTAATAATTGCAGGAAATAATGTTTTCAGAAATATAATACGGCGAAATACAGGATGTCTCACGATGTTTTTTGCTTGTTTAAGTCTTGCCGCTTGAATGACAACAATAGCGCTCTACTGTTGTCATTCATAGCGAGACTTGAACGAGCAGAAAACGTCACGAGGCACTCCGTAGTATTGTGATGTTACTCGTAACTGGAATATTTCTTTAACGTGATTTTTTACGATTATTAAAATTGGTGATTGTACAATTTAATAAAAGAACTTTTTATAAAATATTTTTATTTAGCAGAAAGAGAAAAGAAAGAAGATAATCATTTCTTGCAATTTTGTTAATGCTGAATATATTTTCGGTCTCTAAACTGCTCTATTACATTACAATTTGAGAAATCTGCGGTTTAAATATGCAAAACAAAGCTATTTTAATGTATTTTAGCATGTTATAGTTACCATATATAACGTTAGAAACATTCTATTGCAATCAAATTAAATATTGTTAAAATTATTAATTTTTTAAAGAATTTTTTTATGTAATTAAATAGACTCAATAGCCAACTTCATAATTTGCTCCATATTTAATCATATTTTGGGAATATTTTATTAATCATAATTGTTAACATATAAAATATTGAATATAATACTCTTTCTTGTGGTTTTTTCATTGAATTATGCTATTATTAATTTACACAATTAATTAATTTTTGCGAATATAGTATTCTAAATATTAACTTGCATAGCATCGCATAACATTGTGCAGTATTGAGATAAATTGATATAATTGTTAAATTTAATACATGCATTGTACCAAATATTATTGCAATATATTTAATTAATGAGTAAGTACAGTTATTATTGTAATTTATATTTATAATATATATATATATATAATATATATATATATATTAATCATATTTATAACATATGTATATATATATTAAATTTTGATCTATATTATATATATGAAATAAAATGTATGTTATATTGAGAATATTATGTTAAGTACTAACAATAAGTAATATAATCCTATTCATTGATAATATACATACCATAATGAATTGTGTTTTTGCGAATATGTACTATAAAGAGCGACTAACGATCAATAAAAAGAACGACAAAGCAAGAGATCAGCAACTTTATAACTTTATTACATTATTATTTATTACTTTTGTAAAAGTATAATTACACAATAACTTTAAACTTAAGTTAGTAATTTCTTTTAGCGAAAAATTTAATATCAAAATCGTAGATTAATTAATTATATTAATATAGTTTTTGTAGCGATATAGACTTTTGATTATTTTTTAAAGATTTTTTTAAACTTATTTTGCAAGCAAATTAGATTAGAGCAATAAGTTATTAATAAATTTATTATATATTAATTATATATTTATATAATAAAATTGTATATTCGAATTTGATCTCTTGTAGTGGGATTTGCCAGATTAATAATTCGCAAAACGAACATGAGAATATTAAGCATGGCGATTTTCGGTTCTGTCGTTGCCACGACTTACGTGAAGTCGGTATGGATAATTCATTGATGGCCTGCCAATATGGAATTTCCAATTTTTCAATATCGTCCTCGACACTATAACGATAAAGGCCAACGCTTGCGCTAATGAGTTGTAAAAGCACGAAAAGGTCGAGACTTTCTTTCGGGAAAATTGTGGAACACTGATAAAAGCGATCGACTTATCTTTAAACGGGGCTTACATTTGATTTTTGGATAAACGTCTATACGTGCCAATTTTCAGATATAAAATTGGAAATCCTTAAGAGCAAAAGAGTTAAAAATTGAGCGAAAATAAATCGGAATAACGATATTAATGAACATTTGCGTGGAAATGAAATCAGAGACAGAATTCAAATTAAATTTTTGTACAGAGTTTACGCGAACTCAATTAAATAATATCAGTTGCACTGACATCGTTTTGAAATTAATTTTGGAACATGTTAAAATGTTTCAAAAAGAAAATTTGCGTGACAATATTTTTTCGACTTGAATTAAAAACGTTTTAATATAATTTTTTAATATTATCACACAAAAATGATGGAAGAGCGACTTGTCATTTACTTTCACAAAAAAATGCTTTAAAAGCGAGAAGAAAAAAAAATAAAAAAGCTTTGATGAAAAATTGACGAAAGAGATTGATCGACACTTTCGTTTTTAATTGCCGCTACATGTGTAATTAACTCATCGCATTGATTATCGAATCATATGATTTATTTGAAAATAATTCAACCTTGCCTCGTTTGTTATAACTCGCGAAAATACAAGTGAATGTAATAACAGCTATAATTATTGTTAATGAATTCGACATTACTGCTAAAGTTGGTGAAGCATTAAGTTGAATAATGTGCAACACAAATGAGACGCTCGTTATGGTTAATATAAATAAAACGACGACGTCAAACAATATCTTCTCTCGCGTAAAATCGTAAGACGTCGATTACCGGGCTTTGCGAGACTGGTAATAAAATGCTTTATGACCATTAGTCATTCAGGATCGATCATCCTGTAGCCGATGATTAACGAACAGCGGTAATCGCTCCCTCGATTTGGACATTTCATTAATGAAATATCTGCTCATCGCCCTAGCTAATCAAAGAATCTTCATCAGTCAAATTATGCGTCATATATGAAAGAGAGAAAGAAAGGTGAATAACTTTATGTGCGTATATTTATTTAGAAATTCTTCTCGTGTATCTGATATCGTAAAATCTCATGGGAAATTCGCGGATTTGCGGAAAGCCACATCGTTCACACGCGACGAGACTCTTCTTCAATTCAACGAACCTGCACGAAGGTGATGTCTGATAAGCGTAATATCTGTCATGTAATAATACACGCGAAATAGTACAAGGGATATTATGTTCGAAGTTATTAGAGAAGTACTTTCACGACACGTTGCGGCATGCATTCGAATCAAAATTGAAATAGTGTTAGGATCGAAACCGATATTATCATGGTAAACTCCATGAAACAAGTATATAATAATATATATAATAAAGACCACATTAAAAAAATCCATGTTTTTACATGGAAATTACTTGTTCAAAACTGAAAAAATTACTTAATTATCATTGTAATTTTTTTCCATACTTCTTTAAAGTGAAAATACATATTAATGTAAAAATATATATAAAATATGGGTACAGTTACTATTTTTATGCAAAATCACTTGTAATTTCAAATTTAGTATCTAGTATTTTTACTTTATTAGAAGTTTATTTTATAAGCATATATCTATTTTATTTATAACATTATTTTATAGCATTTATACTTTACTAGCATTTTCTGTAATTCCATATGTTCAGTAGAATATTTTTGATCTTAAAAATATATAAGAATATATTTCTTATAAAATTGCATATATAATCTATAATCTTCCATATGGGTAGCAATATTGCATGATTATACTGGGTCGAAAAAACCTAGTATAATTGTGTAATTTCACACAAATATACTTTTCAATTTGTTTCAAATATTTTTTATTTTTATATATTGCAGTATATTTCCATTAAAAAAAAATCTTTTCTCTAATGGCAGCATTTTTTAAAGTAAATTTTCAATTATTATCATTAACATAAATTTGCTAGAAGACGATCTTCGATAAACTGATTTTTCTTATTGCGTTCTACGCTAAAATATCGATTTATTTTATTGACTCCGTTCTTCCGCGCGGTAGGCTTGCAGTAACTCGTCACGAGAGAAATGTTGACTTCCTCTCGCGCGGCCGTAAAAATTCGTCTATTTTCCACGATGCATATTCATGCCACCTACGCGCGTCCCAGCAAACGGAAATGACATTTAAATGAGAAGTACTATGACCTGCTATCGCCTGCAGCTTATGACTAAATAAGCGGGAACGCGGAAAAGCTATATGCGAAATAGTAAACTCACGGCATCCACTGGGAAATGGCAGCTTTGCAATATGAGTAGCGAAGCGATTTTGCCGCCGATGGCGTAAAGCTTCGATCATCATGGTATAGTGTGCATCTCACAAAAACACATCTCCCAACGGAGTTGCGGCTTGCGCGTATATGCTCGCACGGTTGCTCGTCCTTCGTGATGGAGCTCTTCTCTTTAGAAACTGTAGTCTCTAACGCGCATAGTTACACGGCCATTGTAACGCTGCAGCCCTCCATTGTATTTCTCGCATGTTTGCGCTGCTCAAAAGCTACCTTCTCCCGATTGTAAATTCTTCGATGAAAGTTTACGTCGGCATGCACACACATATGTATCTATATGTATCTGTTGGATGATAACAGTTGTTAAATTAATTTGTGAAATGATATCAAGGAATGTAGTTATACTTCCTGTCACACACGTAAAAATATTTTATAAAATAGATATGTATAAAATAGATATATGAAATAATTAATTTTGGAAAATACTTGACATTTTTTTCGAAAGCAAAATATGTTTATATTCGCGCGGATAATACGATATAATATATTATGTATGCTCAGCCATATACAATCCAACAAATAATGTCACTTAACATAATCATATATGTCATCGCTATAATGCAGTTATACTTATTATGTAGCATTTGTAATATTTAAAATTGCATCTATATAAAATATCATAATGACTTATAATTTGAATTATTTTTGAGACTAAGTAAAGATTTGAATTTGCAATAATAAAAATATCTAAAATATCTAAAATACAAACATACAAACATATTTAAATTAAAAACATAATTGTAACTTAAAAACATTGTGTGCATTATATATATATATATATATATATATATATATATATTGTAATTATTTACACAGCTATAGTATAACGTTTATTTCTGTATTGTTTCAACAATATTAGCAGTCGAGTTATTGTTTATGGAGGATGAAAATCAGAAAAATGTTTACATATAATCTATATAGAATAAGAAATATAAATTATATTTAAAATAGATTAATGGATGACATGAATATACATATGTATGTATGGGTATACACATTGATATCTGAAAATAATTTCTAATAAATTTTAATAAATCTCGGGGCAAGAAATATATTGGTCGATAATGAGTTGTATAAAGAACCATCTATTTTCGTCGACTAAATGTATCTTCTTAATGGGTATACCTTGATGTTAATGGGAAAGCTAGGTACCGGAAGACTTTTTCTGAAGGCTAACTAGCCAAGCGATTAATAGTTTTTTAAACTTTATAAGATCTTTTCTCAATATTTCCTTTCGCACTTCTCTCTCTCTATTGTCGCTGACGATCGCACTTTCGATATCGATAGAATGACATATCTCATTGCTGGACAATATTGAATAAGAATATGCTCTGCTTCGGCAAATAGTTCTGCCTGAATTTAGAGTCGATCAATTTTCCGAAGGGTGAAAGAGATCCTCGTTCCAATTCTTATTTCATAAAAAAGACTTTTATGCATGGGTAAAAGCTAAAATCTTATAAAAGTTTCTACTTTTAGAAAATATAGCTTTTATACAGAGTTATTAGTATAGAGATTTTCAATATTTAGAAAATTATATCTTTAGTTTGTTGTACGCATTTTTTAAATATAAAATCCAATATATACAATAAAAATATTTTGAAATATTAGTTATTTTGAGTGTTCCTCCAATAATTTGGATCTTTTATTTGTATGTTACAGATCAATGTAACTTCAGTGCCGTCAACTCCGTTGTTATGCATCGATCAGTGAGTCACAACAAATACTTTTTATGATAAAACCATCAACTACATATAAATTTTAATTTAAAGTTGCATATAAGTTTGAATAGCTTGTTATGTATTTGGTGTACGTTTTTATCTCTTCTTACAGATTATTTTATTAAAATTTTTATGTGAAAACCGAGTACATGTTTGACACTTTTTTATATCGGACCAGCGCAAAAGTAAACAAAATTTTGCACGAGGTAAAAATTCATTACGTTTAGGCGTGCGTATAGATATTCACTTTTTGCACAGGCTGCTTGAAATACTAGAATATTTATATTTTACGTTGATGAATCAATTAGGACGACTTAGTATGATTTTTGCGTGACGAGAAGTTGATATCTCACTTCTTAGATTGTCTAGATAATCGAAAATAATCTTTACAAAAATATTTTTACGAAAATAATCTTTACAAAGTATATTTTCTTCTTATTATATTTATAAGTAGCTATGATATCATAATAAATGTTTAATGAGTTTGAAAGTTATTCTTTCGCTTAACTCTTGCTCAAAATTATCTCGTCGAAGTGCGATCTTCGCATGAAACGAGGTATTGCTTCGCGATCGCGGATTTCGGGAGATGTCGTGTAAAGTATCGGGCGTTTAAGTGCGGGAATACTGTTTTAAAATATCGCGCGTTAACTGCGGGAGTGCCGTTTTAAAGTATCGCGCGTCCAAGTGCGGGAGTGCCGTTTAAAGTGTCGCGCGTATGAGTCAACGGACCCTGACAATCTGAGAGGAGGAGCAGGCTTGGAAAGCATCAGGCACTGGCGGAGCAACCCTGAGGTAATTTATTATTTATACATTAGATATTTATTAATTGCGTAAATACAATTTAAATTATGCTATTAATTGTGTAATTTGATTTGTTTGGTTAGATTTAAATCAGAGAAAAAAATTAAAGAACAAAACTTTTACCTAACAGTTATAAAATCTTGTTAAAGTTTCTACTTTTAGAAGATTACAGCTTTTATACGGAGTTATTAAAAAATTATTAGTAAAGTCTTTTCAACATTTAGAAAATTATTTCTTTATAATCTGTTTATTGTATTGTAATCAAATATAAAATTCAATGTGTACAATAATAATTTTTGAAATATTAATTATTTTGCGTGTTGCTACAATTTGAATCTTTTATTTGTATGTTTCAGATCAACGTAACTTCAATTCCGCTGTTGCACATCGATGAGTGAGTAACAAATATTTGTTTTTATGATAAAAATCGCCAACTACATATAAGTATATTTTATTATTTCGTTTTTTTAATTTCTATATTTAAATTTCTAATTTAAAATTTGTTTTGAGTACTCTGTTATGTATTTGGCGCGTTTTACCTTTTTTTAAAGATTATTTTATTAAATTAAAATTTTTATGTAAAAACTCAGTGCATGATTGACAATTTTTTATATCAAACTGGCGCAAAGGTAAACAAAGTTTTGCGCGAGGTAGAAATTCGATAGGTTTAGGCGTGTATATGGATCTTTTCTTTTTGTACGGGTTGCATGAAATAGGATATTTCGCAGTATATACCGAAAGTGATCACATTGCTCGGTTCTATGATAGTAGTCGGCTGAAAATGTAGTTCTGTATTCCTTCTATGTCGTGTGAAAATATCACACCGCAACTGGCAGCAGTAGTACCGGAAGGAACAATTCAATATCGATCGCGGCCTGCTCCATTAACTGTTCGCACGCCATTTTGATCGCGACATAAAACAATTATATTTATCTCACTACTAAACTTTATATCGAATGTAAATACTGGATTATAATATTACGAATCGGGTGGGTGTCTTAGAAAATTATTAGTAAAGTCTTTTCAATATTTAGAAAATTATTCCTTTAATCGTAGAAGTCAAAACAATGTATTCAAAGCAAAATAAACGTGCGCAACTTTCGTATAATTTTGCCTCCGGGCGACGTAGAATCCATACGATATTTTGTCGTGATATATGAGGAATACATAAAACGAGAGGCGAAAAGAATATGAATTGTTAGGGATGAAAATTCCGTAAGGAGTTGCGCGAACAGAATCTTAAATACCACCATCACCTTAATAATAATGCCTTTGCGATAGATAAGACACGGCAATCTCCTCTGAAATATCTACTGGCGAAACCGTTCCATCGCGAACTTTGGCGGGAAGTTTCCAAATTGGAATCTCTCTCGCAGTTATGGGTCCTCGATAGTACATGTATTTCATATTTATGATTCTTGATATATACACGTCGGTGACTCATGATGGAATGGATAAAGTTCATGCTTGCGATGTCTCACCTGAAATTGATTTATCTCAAATGTTACACTGTAACATTTCTTGCTTAGCATATCTGTAATTGATTTAAAAAGGATTTATATAGCTATGGAATCGAGATTAATATATTAAATATTTCGTTGTAATAATAAATATGCGAGACAGTAAAGATATTTTATTATTGATATATATTCATTTTTTCCTCGTTATATACTTTGTAATTATATAAGTTGTATAACACACATATTAAATTAACAGGGGCTCAGGAAATAAAAAATTGGTAATAACACGCGAAAGTATAATTAATAAACAGTCTTATAGTTTTTTCTAATTTGCTGAAATTAAGATGGATGGACTTTGGTCACGGATGTGCATTATCTGGTTATTATTCGCATTCCAAATATATAATATTCTATAATTGGACGCGTCAAAACACACTCTCTTGGTCGTGTTTTATTGATATTTTACAAGCGAAGATAACGAAAAAGAGCGTATAATAATTACATATAATGCAAAAATTACATCTTTATTGAAAAAATCAGCTGTTTACTTTATGAAAAATTTTATCTTAATTTTAAAAACGATCATTCTAAATTCTCCATCGTGAAAGTAAGATTTATCGGATCCCGATTGCGAGCAAAGAACTATTCGGAAAGTGGAAGAGAGGACTCGAGAGAATCATAAAACGTAAGAATCACCCGATTTTACGAGTTGACTACTTTGCACATTATTGCCAAGTCAACATTAGTCAGAAATTCACGATCCATGAATATTCGTTCCAAAACGCATTTTATATATTATAATTTTTACGATAATTTAAAGTTCGATAAATTGGAAACGCCTTAACTGCATTGTCGTCATTAATATCGATTTATTGAATATATGAAAAAAATATAATTATATATAATAAATTATATTGTATATTAATAAAATTTAATATATGTGTAATAAAATTATATATTAATACAATAAATTGTATTATAATAATATAATATTATATAACAATATATATATATACTAAATTTTAATAAAATTAAAGTTTATTATAATTATCAAATAATTAATTATTAAAATTATATTTCTTCTTCTTATAATTTTCTTCTTGTAATCAACAAATTAATATTATTAACGAAATAGCAATTAAAATGTTTTCAATTTAATTAAAAATTATATATATAATTTTAATATACATAATAAATTATGAGTGCGTACATACATAATTAAAAATACACATTAATATTAAAGATTTATTTATTTTGAGAATTTCTTTTTTTTGCTTTTATTATAGTACTCTGTGGGAACGTGG